AACTGGTTTGGCTCAGTGGATAGAGCGTCGGCCTACCGACTGAAGGGTCCCAGGTTCGATTCCGGTCAAGGGCATGTACCTTGGTTGTGGGCACATCCCCAGTAGGGGGTGTGCAGGAGGCAGCTGATCAATGCTTCCTTCTCATAGATGTTTCTAACTCTCTATCCCTCTCCCTTCTTCTCTGTAAAAAATCAATAAAACATTTTTTAAATGTTTAAAAAAAAAGAAATCACTCCACAAAATGCAAGTTAGTAAATCAATGTCACAGAACTGCTGAGAGAAAATTGCTGACTCGGCAGTATTCCTAATGTCAGACACACTTCAGGCTAACACTTTCAAGTTATAATCTCTCTCTCTCTCTCTCTCTCTCTCTCTCTCTCTCTCTCTGTATATATATATGTATATATATGTATATATATGTGTGTGTGTATATATATCCTCTGTTAATGTCAAATCTAGATCTGAAGAACTATGATCTTCAGATTAAAATTCTGAAAGAAAAATAAAACTCCAGAATAATGAAACTTTTAATCAGTGGTTTTAAATATAAATCTTAAACTGTTTTACTGATTTGAATTTGTGACCTAAATTAAGTTTTAAACAAAGTGCATAACATACTTCTAATTGGCTCTGAATCAACTTTGTGTTCTTAAAATTGTTTATGAAAATTTGAAAAATGTAAAGCAAAGTTAACTCAGAGACAATAGGAATAAACACGTACATACAGCCAACTCACAAAAGTAAATGTCTCAAACATGTATTTTTCTGAAAAAAATTTTTTTTCAAGTATTTGCCATCTCACACAAATATCCCACCAAAACAAACAAACAAAAAAATCTGTTTGTAATCACTCTATTAGAATTGACAAAACTTTGGAGTAGGGGAAAGGGGATTAGAGAAAGTTACCAAGATTGAAAACGTCTGTTTCACTAATTTCCAGTTTCAAATCTGTTACTTTTACAGAACCTACAACTACCGCAAAACTGATAAACTCTCCAAAAAAAAAAAAAAAAGTAGCTCAAAAAACAATTCCCCCACTGTTACTTCCCCACTACATTCACTCCTACCTGCTACCATCGCTATACAATTCATGGATAGGATCACGCTGAGCGCTACAAAACTACTTCCAAACAGTAAGAGCCGGCAGAAGGCCGGTGGCCGGAGCCCAGAAAGGACCCCGGAGGCACCCAGCCCCTCGCGCAGGTGGCGCGCCTTTAGCTCCGCGCAACACCTGCCCTGTCCGGCCACGAATGAGAATCATGGCCGTCCTCGACTCTGCCCTAAGAGGACGTTAAAGAGCAGAAGGGGATTCCAGGCGGGTTTACATTAGCTAATCCACCAGCCCCACAGGCAGAGCAGAGCTGTCAACAAATTAGGACCACAGGAGAGAAAACAGCTGCAAGTGGGTGGGGGTGTGCGCGGGTGCCTGGGACCTGGGGACCGGGGCCGCTCTGCAAATGCCACGATTAAAAAGGGCAAAACCCAAGGCCTGAGTGTCTCCCCCGGGCCCCGAATCTCGATTCCCCTGGGTCAGGATTGGACCTAATCCCCAGACCGCCCGGATTTGGGGGCGGAGGGCGGGCGCCTCCCGCATCCGCGGGCCCGAGCGCCCAGCCCCCGCGGCGAAGACGCGCTCGGACCGACACTCACGTTTTCTGCACGGGCTTGCGCCGCTTGCGGCTGGCGTAGGTGATGTTGGCGCTGCTGCCGTTCATGGTGCCCAGCCGCCCGCGATTCCTCTCTGGGCACGGGCACGGGCACCGACCGCCCGGTCTCCGGGACCCGCGGCGGCTGGGACGGCGGCGGCGGCGGGCCCGGCTCCACGAAGCCGCGCTCGCTCCACCTGCGTCCTCCCGGGCGGTGGGGAGGCGCCGCGTCGTCCGAGCCGCGGCTCCCGCAGCCCCGCGCGTCCAGGTGCGCTGCCTGGGCCTGGCGCCCGCGGTGGGGGGGCGGCGACGGGCGGAGACCGGTGGGCGAGGCGGCGCAGGTGCCGTCTACACCGGCGGAGGCGGCGCGGCGTTGCCCACAGGTGAGGCGGCCTGGGGGAGGGAGGAGTCTGCGCCGCGGGTTTGGAATCCCAGCCTGGGTCGCGCGCGGGGGTGCCGCGCCCCGTGACCGTGACCGTCGCCTCGGCCCCTTGGGTGAGGGAGGCGCCGCCGCACGACTCCGGGGGCTTCCCCAATCCTGAGTGCTTCGCGCCGGTGGAGCTGGGGCTCCGGCCGCCACTCCCTGTGCCACTGGCTTCCGCTCGGCTGCGCAGCTGCCCCGGGTCCGAGCTGGTGGTCCAGGGCACGCTCCCGGGGACGGACGTCAAGTGGAGCCTCCCGGCGCTGCCTCGCACCGCCGCGCGCGCCTGCCGAATCGCTGAAGCGCCCCCGACCCCTCTCTGGCCACGCCCAGTACCGTATAGCCCCGCCCCGTCCGGCTTGACCACGCCCCAAAGCGCCTTAAGGGCCCCCACCTTCCCCATACGTGATGACGTAAGACGTAACGGCGGCCTCTAGTCGCCATGCTCTTGAGGTCAAGGGGTGGCTTCTGTGGTCACAGTTCAACCCTGGAAAAGGTGTAATCACAAATTGTGCGTAGCCGAACTCTTTGTAGCTAGGCGATCTAAGAGATAGACGTGCCAAAGACGAGCTTAAGGACAGACGTGCCAAAGGGTGAGCTTAACTTCACCTACAGGAGAGGCAGTGACTCACCTCTACTTTAGGCTAAGAATTCATTGCAGTGAGCCGGCAGGTAACCAGAGGGGAAGGCTTTAGAAGGCCACAGAGTTGGAATCTAAAAGCTAGGAGTTTCCTTGGCTTTTTGTATGTGTTTGTTTGTTTTTGGTCTCTATACTTCATAACTGCTTTCCCCCAGCCAGATTCGCTTTTGCTATTCATAGTCAGATTTCAACTGGGCTGAAAGGAAGGAAGCAAGAAGAGGGAAGCGGGGGACACTGGGAGATAGTAAGTAGTCTGCTATAGCTGGACAGAGGGGCTGGAAGGGACGTCCAGCAATGTTAGGGTCAAATCATAAGGCCTTGATAGAGGGCCTAGGTTTTATTCCCTACGCAACAGAAGCTTTTCAAAGATGTCTAGCAGGAAAGTGACATTCTGTCACTCTGGGAAAGAAAGTGAAAACTGGATGACAGGAAACGAAGACTGGTTGCAGAGAGAGTAGTTAGGGATTTGTTGACATAATGCAGGTGTAAGTCCATGGGAGTGGCAGTGGAATGGGCAAAAGATAGAAAAGAATAAGGTCATAGAGGAAGAGAGAGCTATCTTAAAAGACTCCAAGATTCCTGACTCTCTGTGCTGTTAACCGAGATAGTGAACACAGAGGAGTATGTTCGCTTGTCAGGAGCTAAAGGGCATCCAGGTTAAGATGTCTGGGTGACATTTCACACCATGTCCATTCCTAAATTTTAAAATGTATAAGCCATTCCCACCTGGTATGTCTTGTTTATCTCAAATTCTGTGTATCAATAAATTAAATTCATTGTCTTTAGCTGAAACTTTTTCATTGGCTCTGCCATTCTCCTGATCAGCCCATGAATCATCTTCAGTTCCCCTACAACTTACATCTAAATATTCCAGCAAATACTAGACATTTTGTTCTTTGCGATATTCATCATTTATCTCCCTCTGCCTTATTCTTCAATAATATTAGAGAGAACATGCCCAGCTAAATGCCATACCATTTGGGATTCCTGGCCTGAAACTATCCCCTCTACTCATTAAATCAAGAGACGTTTTGGGTGGTAACTCCCAATGTGCCAGGAATTGTGCTAGGACTGTGGAGACAATGGTGAATAAAAACAGAAAGTGACATTGCTCGTGGTGAATGCCATGGAGAAGTACATGACTCAATATGATTTCCTAGTAGATAGGTTTGACTTACTCATTGAGGTGAAAAGAGACTTTTCCCCAAAACTGATGATTAAGCTGAGTTTTGAAGGATAAAGTCAGCGTAGCTAGAAGACAGAGGGGAAGAGCTTTCCAAGCCAGTGAAACAGTAAAGCGATGTCCCTTTAAGGCAGGAGGCTAGCAGGTATAAGGGACTAAAACATGATCAGGGGAGAAGGGCACAAATGATAATACTTGTGTTTCAAAAAAAAAATACCATATTGTGCGAAGAGCAGTTTAAAGAGGGAGGAGCAGAGTAGAATGGATGGAAGTAATAATCCTTAGAAAACTATTTATACTAGCCCAGCCAAGAGGTGGCAATTACTGATGCTGAGGTGGAGGTGATTGTGGAGATAAAGAAAACTAAATAGATTCCAAAGGTATTTGGGAGGTCTTGGAAAACGGAGCAGATAGATGATAGTGAAGAGAGAGGCAGGTGTCAAAAACGTAAGTTTTTTGGACTATGTGTCTGGTTATGTGATAATGGAATGTACTGGTGAGAAATTATTAATTCAGCTTTTGATTTCTTACCTATGAGACATCTAAGAGAAGATGTCAAGTAGACCACAGCACATACAGGTTTGTAACTCAAAGAAGGTGTATAAGCTGGAGACAGATTCAGAAGTCATTTACATTTAGGTAGCAAGAGCATCGAAGTTATAGGGTGTGAATATATACTAAAAAAGAAAGACTGGGCCTCCAAAGAACTTTAATATGTTATATCTAATCTGTGGATAGGAGATAATGCATTACTTTTTGTTGGTCCTGCAAAACCAACAAAAGAGAGTTGCTAGATTGGTAACAGGAGAATAAGGGGGCTACTGTGGCGTAGTGGACAAGATAGAGAAATGTCAGGAGTGGTTAACAGTATTGAATGCTGTTGAGAGGTTCCAATAAAATGAGAACTGAAAATACATGTTTTGACTTTTCAACATGGAGTCATTGGTGACTTTTGTGACTCTATGTTGGTGGGTGAATGGACCTGCAATTCAGATAGAACTAGAGATGAAATGATGTTGGCAAACACAATTTCTCTTTTGAAACTTTGGCTGTGAAAGAGAGGGACCTAAAATGGTAGCTAGGGGGCGTAAAGAGTTAATTTTTATTTTTTTATTTTTTTTAGTGGGTGATCTACTTAAGCAGTTGAGAGAGAGGAGAGAAATTGAGATTTGCCATGTAAGGAAGACAGGAGGGATTGGTGCCAAAGCACAAACAGGAAATCAGGACTTTAGTAGGTTACATAACGCAGAAATAGGTCATCTACTGCTCCACTCTTCAAAGTGGTCCACAACTTCTCTGGATGTCCTTCCCAAGCCAGAGTCTAACTTTAACAAGATCTCCCAGGTGAGTCAAATGTACATCAAGTTTGAGGAGCATTGCTGTACAGAAGCTGAGGATAAGGAAGGTGGTGGGTGAAATGTATAGGCTGGGAATTTAGGATCAGAAAGACAAAGTTGTTGTGATGGGGGCGGGGGGCAAGTATTATAGAAAGAAACAGGTGTGTTTTATGGTTGATGGGTTTGTTTTATATTTTAACTTTGCAAACTATAAAGTAAAGGGGATCTGGGAGTGGTAACAGGGAACCAGGTGGACATCAACACTATGTCGTGGATGTGTGATGAGAGAAAATAATTAGGCACCATTTGGGAGAACGTCCCAAATGTTAGGCCAATGATCGCCTCAGAGAGCCAGCTTTCAGTGTAAGGCAAAGGATGGAGCAACTTCCCAAAGACGACAGTGCCTACAGGGGAGTTCAGTGTTTATGGAGTAGCAAGCCCACAAACACTGGGAAACAATGGTAGTATTAGACACATTCCTACCCTCTTAGAGCTTACATTCCAATGGGAGACGCAAGAATTAAGTAGTTATGCAAATGAATGCATAATTGTAACTGTGATAAGTGCTAGACAATGAGTACTCTAAGAATAGAACAGGTGAATTTGACTTGGTTAGGGGAGGTTGGCCTGAACGAGCTTGGGCAGAATTCTGAAGCATGGGTAGGCATTTTTATTTAAGTAGAGTTGGGAGGAAATGGTATTGCATGCAGATAGAACATTTATCACAATTTTTATCTCTTCAATCCTGTAGCTCCTTACCCCAGGCCCTCAGAATGATCTATTTCACTCATATTCTTTTACATACTAGATTCACACATTATAATTATAGTCAACTAGAGGCCCAATGCACGAAATTAGTGCAAGGCCTTGGCCCCAGCCCCTGCCCGCAGCTGCTGTGGCCCCCGCCCACTGCGACTTTGTCTGGAAGGAAGGATGTCTGGAAGGACATTTGGTCTAATTAGCATATTACCCTTTTATTATTATAGGTATTTTAGGGAATGCTTTACAAAGTGTGTACTGAGGCACTCCAAAGGTGCCACAGCCAACACCAAGGGGCATCATCGTGGGACATTTAAATTTTTCAAGGGCAACCCAATGATATCCGCTAAAAATGATGCAAGTCATTAGCTCCAGGTAGTTCAAAGAAGCTCACCATTGAATCATACCCATTGATGACATCACACCTTTGTGAGGCTGGGTTTTTGTAAGTTGCTATTATAAAACACAAGGATCATAGAGCAGGAAACAAGGGTAGTGGTTTCCAATCCAATTCCAGGTTCTGAGAAGTTATAAAGTGCCAACCAGACATGCATATCCTGTTAAGAATGAAATAAACTTTCAAAAAATGTATGTGTATTATTTTTTTTAAACAGCTACTAAGTTGTAAGAATAGACATATCGCTGAAACTGGTTTGGCTCAGTGGATAGAGCGTCGGCCTGTGGACTGAAGGGTCCTAGGTTCGATTCCGGTCAAGGGCATGTACCTGGGTTGCGGGCACATCCCTGGTGGGAGATGTGCAGGAGGCAGCTGATTGATGTTTCTCTCTCATCCATGTTTCTAACTATCTCTCTCCCTTCCTCTCTGTAAAAAATCAATAATATATATATATATATATAAAAAAAGAATAGACATATATAATAAGTTTGGACATAACTAGTTAGTGAGTAGTGCTGATTTGTGTTTCTTTCAGCATGCCACACCATGGAAAATTACTGGAACACTAAAAGTGCCATGAGCTGGAAAAGTTTGGGGATGTTTGGTATAGCTAACCCCTTCATTCTGCTTTTTGCTTGCTGGACCCTTTTTATTATAAATGTGAAATTTGATTATAAGAAACGTTACAAAGAAGCTTTATGTTTCACATACTAAGATAAAGTGATTTATTAACCATTTCATCAAATAATATATACATGTATAAAATTTTTGTACATATAAAAGCCTTTTAGCTTTATCTATATATAGGTATTTAGGATCTACATAACAATATTTATTTTATGCATTTTAAATCATGATGAAGAAGAAACTAAAGTAAAGTTCAAATACATTTATATTAAAGAAATATTTAAAAAGAAAGTTGGGCTGGTGTGGCCTCAGTGAATAAAATTACATTAACATAATATGAAAGACTTAAGGACAAGTACATTATTGTGACACTGATTTGAAAACTATAATTTAGATCTGTTCAACTTCAAGAGGCTAGCACATTCTTATGCACATTAAAAAATAAAAACGTGTTCTTGAAAATGTTTAACTTGAATTTTCACAATTGTAGACAGTGGGGCTTAACTTTGTTGTACATCAGCTGGGAGCTTTAAAAAATACTGATGCCTTCCAGAGACCTTGATGTAATTGATATAGGGTGTGGCCTGGGTATTAGGATTTTGGGGGGGTATTATACTGTGGTCATATAGGAGAAAAATTCTTATTTTCAGGAAATGCATGCTGCAACATTTAAATGTGAAATATCCTGGTACTGGTAACTTAAGAATGGTCTAGCAAAAGATACACACACACACACACACACACACACACACACACACACGTATATTTATACATTCATACACAATTGTGAAGGGTTTTCAAGTATTTATTGTATTATTCTTTCAACTTTTCCGTATGTTGACATTTTTCCCAATAAAAAGAGAAAACAATAAGAGTGAAAACAAATCGCCATTTACCCTCAAGTTTAAAAATTCAGAGACAACATCATTATCTGAAGCCTGATAACTGTTTCACTGAGAGGTGGGGCCAGGTCTGGTATATTAATCACCCAGTGCTTACATAAGATAAAGCTTTAGAATTTGCTCTAACCCTTGGGATTCCAGGAAACAGATGGATGATGAGTGAAAGACAACTCAAATGAGATTTCTGCACTCCTCCAGGTTAAAAACAAACTTAGAAGCCCAAACCCTCATTTTCAGCATCTGTGGCTGAAGAATGTATGTGTAGATAGTTGTGCATTTTAAAAATATAGCTGGTTTATACTAACCACAAATTATTCACTTTGTTGTAGTCACCAGTCAGTTATATAGACTAAAATGCTAAGTTTCTAATACCTTATAAATATTTTTACTTATTCTTAAAACTGTAAATTTGAAATATTTTCTTTATCAGCTTGCTTGCATATAATATACTCCTTGACTTGTGGTAAAATTTTATAATGCATCCATAACCAGTATTTATATCTGTAAATCATACATGCTAAAGCAGTAGCTTTTTAAAATCTTGGGGAAAATGTTCAGTTAAATCTGTTCACATCAATGCTATGCAAAACAAATATAGTAAGTAAGGGTCTCAGGACACTCCTTACTTAAACTCTATACAAAGCATTGGGAAAATCTGCCATTACCTGATTGGTAAGTTGGTAATGATAAAGGAGATCTGGTTACATAATTAATCAAGGGGATGTAGCTGAGGGTGGAGTGTCCTGTTCTCCACCCTTCCCTCCTAAGGCAGGGTGGAAGAATTTCCCTTGTAAAACTTTAAACTTTATTTGAGCCTCTTTCCTGCCTGAACATAGATTGACTTCCCATCTGCCTTTATAGCCAAGGAGTCCTGATGGAAATGCGTTAGAAGGATTCGATTTATTCCCAGTTTTTGGACCAATTTCTTACATTCTTTCAGTCCCTGCTTTGGGTTGAATCCATTCTGATTATCTCAGTCTATAAATAAAAAATCAGATAAAGTAGATGTGCTTCTGGAAAAAAAAAAGCATGGAAATCAAATAATTATTTTGGAGTACATGGGCATTGAAAGAAGTACTAAACAGATTATTTTATAATATAAATAGTTCAGGGTTTTATAATGTATTTTCCATATTTATTTATTTATTTAAACTAAGATGTTATGAGCACACAGATTTATGCCAAAGTTTAACATGATCTTTTAAAGCCGGTCACCACCACTACCACCACATCCACCACCAAAAAAAAAAACCCCAAAAAACCCAACACAAAAAACCCCCACACAAAACAAAAAACACACACACCAAAAAACAAAACAGAGTCAGCATACACTTATATTAAGAAAAACACCAATCTGAATCTTGCTAGAGTGCTTTAGATTGTATATAAAGAGAATTTTCATTCTTCTATTTTTCTTTTATGTATGTTTAAAATTCAAGAGGATTTGACATCCCAGCTCTTTCCTTTTTTATGATTAGCAGAACACAAATTGAAATAATAATAAAGCACAAATGTTTCCATATTGGAAGGTTCTATCCAGCAGAAAGAAAGCCACTAATGCAGTCTCTAATAATGTCCTTCCCCCCTTTGAATAAGAAGGTTTGTGTTCTGACATTAAATGGATTAAGCAGCAAGCCTGCTGAGAAAAATACTCAAAGGTATTAAACCCTTGCAGTGTTGGTTTAACTGTAAGTACTGTAAAATAAGATTAAGTCTGAGTTTGGAAGAAGAACTAGATTTGACATAAGACTAAAAGGTAACAGTATTCACAGATGCCTGAATTAATGGTTCAGTGAAAAATATAATTAGCACAAGATTTGAAAATATGTCTCCTTTGGCAAATGTCTTCTGAGAGTAATCAGTGCTATAGACTGATGTAGTGGAAAGAGCACTGGGCAAGGGGCCAACATCTAGGAATTCAAGTTTGTTGCTCTAGCACTCGCTAGTTCTATGACCTTGGATAAGAAATTTCTACTCTCTGAGTGACAGTGTGGTGGATGTGGCCAACTGGCAACCATTCTCCTCTATAGAGTGTACATTTCTGCACTGCAGAAGCTGGGAAGCTAAAAACTGCATTTCCTAGATTCCTGTGCTATTAAAGTTGCAGATGCAAATTAGGTTCAACCAATTGGATGCACTTGCTGAGATTTGGAAAGCAAAAGTCAAGTGGAGGTCATCTTCCTGCTGCCTGCATTGTTTTCTGCTAATAAGTGTGATTGTGAAGATACCAGTTTTATGTGACAGGTTCCAGCATCCGACTTCAAGGGTTTTGAGAGGCTATTGTGGTGGCAGCAGCATTTTTTTTTCAGATCCCTTGACAGGACAGTAGTAACTTCTGGATTCCTCACCTTTCTGACTTAGTAGTTCCCAATAGGTCATTTCTGCAGTGTTCTGTCCTCGACTCTCACCCTAGAACCTCAATCTCTGCCTTTCCAATTATTTTTTAAGCTTTTAATTTTCTCTATGAACTTTCTGTCTACTTAAAGTACCTGGAGCTTATTCTGTTTCCTGTAGTGAACCCTAGGTGACACACACATGTGCAAATTTTATCCACACCTCACAGGTTTGAATAAAATTGAGAAGACCAAACCCAACTATCTAAGTATATTTAATATTGTTTCCTCTTTTTTTGAAAGATGGGCATTCCTGATACAAGCAGCTATCAAAATCGCCTCATGGTATTTTCTTGTCATTAATTTTATTCAGATAATAATGGTCTAAACACATTTGTAATGTACTGGTTCTGTTGGGCAAATAACCCAGAAAAAGCAATTGCATATTCAATAGGTATGTAGATATTCCAAATCTCTTGTTCCCAAAAATTACCATGAGTTAACAGTGACACTTTTTAAAAATATGTTTCTATTGATCTTTAGAGAGAGAGAGGAAGGGAGAGGGATAGAGAGATAGAAACATTGATGAGAGAGAGACATCATCAATCAAGCTGCCTCTTGCACATCACCTACAGAGGATTGAGCCCACAACCTGACCATGTACCCTCATCAGGAATCAAACCAGTGACCTCTGGGTTCATGGGTGGACACTCAACCACTGAGATACACCAGCTGGGTGATACCTTTCTTGTAATTAAAATGAATAGTTATCACTTCAATTTTATATTTCCTTAATATTCCTTTTTTTATGATGGCAATAATTAGAAGCATTAAGGCAAATTCTATAAGGAAATTGACAGATAAACATAGCTCCATGTCTGTCAAGATTTTGAATAGATTTGGAAAAATTTTGCTTTGTGTTCTCTGAGCTCATACTTTCTAAAGGAATAAAATAATCCTTTCTAATCATCTTTTGTCTTTTTTTTCTTTTTCAGAAACACTTGTTAGATCTGTGGAGCCAAGAGACTTTTTGCCTTTAAACCCGCCCACATGCCCAACCCCCATTAGGGAGCCAAAGCTCTTCAGATCAGTTATTTCTGACGAGGCTTCTCTGCTCTCTGGTTTCAGCCTGGCTCCTGACTGTCTCCATTTATGTTTGTGTCTTCTTCTGTGCCCTTTCGACTTGTGCTGAGTCCTGTTCTGCTTCTCCTAAAAGAACTTGTTCCACTGGCTTTTCTTCCTTGAGAATTTTTTTTCTAGTTTTGGGCCCTTAGAACTTAAATTCATTTGAGCCCCAACTATGATAAACACCTTTTAGTTCTCCTGGGGAGGAGAATTCAGAAAACGAGATTTACACTGAGACCCCATTACTTTCTAACATAATTTTAAATATTGGACAGAATAAACTATATCGAATTTTCTAGTAGTCTGTGGATAAAAACTTATTTATTTACTTGCACATATATAAATAAACCCTACTTTCATAATTTCATCTATAATTTCTTTATAGAAAAATTCTAACCTTAATATAATAGTTCCTAGTTTTCAGACTTACCTCAAATTTCCCCATCCCATCTGAAATGCTACTACAAGTTTTGTTCTGAAAATACTTTGTTCTGAATACACTAGAGGCCCTGTGCATGAAATTCATGCACAGGCTGGGGGTCCCCTCAGCCCAGCCTGCACACTCTCCAATCTGGGATCCCTCGGGGGGTGTCTGATTGCCAGTTTAGGCCCAGGGATCGGGCCTAAACCGGCAGTCAGGCATCCCTCTCACAATCCAGGACCACTGGCTCCTAACTGCTCACCTGCCTGCCTGCCTGCCTGATCACCCCTCACTAACTCCCCTGCCAGCCTGATCACCCCTAACCACCTCTGCCTGCTGGCCTGATTGCTCCTAACTGCCCCCCCTGCTGGCCTGGTCACACCCAACCACCCCCCCACCAGCCTGGTTGCCCCTAACTGCCCTCCCCCCCGCCAGCCTGGTTGCCCCTTACTGCCCCCCCCCCCCCCGCTGGCCTGGTCGCTCCCATCTGCCCCCTCTTGCTGGCCTGGACACCCCACGCAGCCTGCTGTTCAGTCATTTGGTTGTCTCTCACTAACCCCTATGCCGGCCTTGTCACCCACACAGCCTGCTGTTCAGTTGTCTGTCCGGTTGTTTCTGCCGTGACGGCCCCTATTTTTTTGATATATTAGGATATGCCACTTCCCTTCTCAAGAACATATAATTGCTTCTTGTCCATTAAATCAATTTGAAATAGCTATCCTAAGATACCCCATCAACTAATTTAACTTTACTTTCTAATTGTATCTTCCCCATTACATAACACATGCCTCCACTTCAATCAGACCAATTAGAGAGAAAAGGAGAAAGAGAGAGAGAGAGAGAGAGAGAGAGAGAGAGTAAGAGAGAGAGAGAGAGACATCTGTGTGAGAGAGAATATCCATCAGTTGCCTTCCAGGAATAGAACTTGCAACCTTTTGGCCTACAGGACAATGCTCCAACCAACTGAACCACCATCCAGGGCCATGCCAATTTTCTTATGACTTCTTGAATATGTCAAATTCATACTTCCCTCTTCATCCTCATGTTTAATTGAAAAACCTACTCTCTACTTACTCCAATTGAACCCATCAATCCCAAAAAGTACTTGCTTGTTCCATAAGTTCTTCATATTAACATGTCTTATATTATTTATAATTTTTTCACTAATGATCCATATTTCCCATGAAATTGAAGAATATGCTGGTGAAATATTAAGTACTTAATATGTGTTGAATTAATATTGAACATTTTATTGTTGGTGTTAAATATCCTAAAACTTACATTCATGTTATGTTTAATTGTTGGTTCAGTCACTCACAGGTTTTCTCAGCTACAATGTCCCACTTTTCAGATGTCAATAACAAGTTTGGTATGTTACTTGTCCTTCAAGATGAACTATGTAATTTAGTTTTCATGCTGAAGCCAGATCATTTCACTAATGGCACAGTATACTATTCATTTGATAGTCATATAGGATGCATACTTGCAACAAATAAATACTGAGAAGTGGAAACAGCATAAAGAAGAAGACATGATTTTTGCCTTTTCACATCCAGAAAACCTACAGGGTATGCAGGGTGAGGGGAGTGACCAGGAAATCACCAGGGAGTATGATGAGTCTGAGGGGTATGGTAAGTACAAGATACTCTGAAAGCACATACAGAGGACACCTAATCTAAACTCAGGGGTTCCGAAGGGACAGGCTGATCCCTGAAGAGTAGGCATTACTCCAGCAAACAAGGCTTGAGAAGGTCAGAGGAACCCTGGGTATGATCTGAAAGCAGTGAATACAGGGAAAGTTAATTAAATTTCTTAAAATTTCACTGGCATATTTAGTTCAGATTCAGATTTTCTAAGATTCCAGTTCACATCTTAAAATCTAACAAAATTACCTCAAACCAAAAGGACATGCTGGGTATATTTTTTAAATGATATTTCATAAGTAATTATTATTCCTAAAATATTTGCAAGGGGAAAACTATTTTTCATCCTATCTTAGGTCACATTCCTAAGAGCTTTCACAGAGGGAGTGTGCTCAGGAGAAGGGATGTGAGAAGTAGGAGAGGACAGGACAAGGAGCTAACCAGGAGTGTGGCTGCAGCGGGACCCCCCTTCAGCCAGTGACTCGGGAGCATGAATTGAATCACAGAGCTGGTCCCACCTTGAGGTAAGAAGTCTGGCTGCTATTAGGGTGGGCATGATGGAGGATAATCTCCAGGATGCGGAGGCTGTGGCTTCCACAGGGCACAGGAAATTTTTAAGGAAAAGGGGAAGCAGTGAGCCACGCAAGCCAACATTCAGCGCTTCAGGGGCATGGGTGCAGCTGGGTGTAGCAGCTGGTAAAGGGGATCTGTTTGTCTCGTCAATCCTCACCTGAGGATATTTTCCCATTGATTTTTAGAGAGAGTGGAAGGGAGAGGGAGAGACACAGAAAGAGAAACATCAATGTGAGAGACACATCGATTGGTTGCCTCCCACACACGCCCTGGTGGGATTGAGCCTGCACTGAGGTACATGCCCTTGACCAGAAATCAAACCTGGGATCCTTCAGTCCATCGGCTGACGCTGTATCCACTGAGCCAAACTGGGTAGGCTATTATGGATATTTTTAAGAGGCACAAACAGCTCAATGCAATGTAATACAAAGTGCACTAATGAGGAAAATGCTGAGAAAGTGGGTATTTGTCTTACATAAGCTCTGTAGATGGCTTTTAATTAAAAAAAGTTTTAACACATTTGCATTTACTTTCCATATAGCTTATGTCAACTGCAATTATTTTTAATTTTCAAAAATGAATAAAATCTATATTTCCAATTTAATCCATTTTTATAAAAAATGATAATTAGTATTTATTGAATAATAGCCCTGTGCATTTTACATACTTTTATTTAGTCTTACAATCCTGTGAAACAGGTACCTTTTTAAAAAATTGAAATACAATTCACCACTTAAAAGCCTATGAGTGGTTTTTAGTGTATTCACGAGGTTATGAAACCATCAATATTATCTAATTCCAGAACATTTACAGCACCCCGAAAAGAAACCCTATATTCATTAGCAGTCAATCTCCATTCCCCCTCTTGCCAGCTCTTACAAAACTATTCATCTACTTTCTCCCTCTGAAGATCTGTCTATTCTGGCCATTTCATATAAATGGGATTGGGTTTAACTTCTTTTATTTAGCATAATGTTTTCATCCACGTTGTAGCATTGATCAGTATTTCATTCCACTCATCAGTTGATGGACAGATGGATTTTTTTAACTTTCTGGCTAATTTGAACAATGCTACTATGAACATTCATGTACAAGTTCTTGTGTGGACACATGTTTTCATTTCTCTTGGGTCTATATCTAGAAGTAAAATTGCTGGGTGTATGCTAACTATGTTTTACAAGAGACTACACCGTTTACATTCCCATTAGCAATGTATGAGGGTTCCAACTTCTCCATACCCTTGTCAACACCTTAGTGTTCTTTTTACCATAGGCATCATAGGAGATATGAAGCGATATTTCATTGTGGTTTTGATTTTCATTTCCTTAATGAATAATGATGTTCAGTATCTTTTCATGTGTTTATTGGCTATTTGTATATCTTCTTTGGATAAATTATATTCAAATTCTTTGCCCATGTTTATTGTTGTATTGAGAGTTCTTTATATATTTTGACTATTAGACTCTAATCAGATACAGGATTTCCAAATATTCGCTTCCATTCTGTGGGTCTTTCTTAATAGTGTCCTTTGATGCACAAAAGTTTTTAATTTTGTTGAAGTCCAATTGGTCAACTTTTTCTGTTTGTGCTTTTGGTGTCATATCTAAGAAGCCATGGCCAAATCCAAAGTCATAAAGATTTGGCCTATATTTTCTTGTAAGAATTTTATAGTTTTAGTTATTACATTTATGTATTTGGTTCACTTAAAGTTAATTTTTGTGCATGATGTGTGGTAAGGGTCCAACTGCATTCTTTTGCATCTGGATATCCAGGTATCCCAGGATCTTTGTTGAAAAGATTATTCTTTCCCCCATTGAATTGTGTTGCACCCTCCCTCCAATATTAATCATTTTCATCTTCTTTTTAAACAGTTTCATGAATCCTCTCATATCACTTCCAAGCCTCCTCTAATTTTTTTATTTTGACATAGCTGAAGTGTTATTTCTTGCACAATACAACTCTTATACCAAGTTAGGAAATATTACTTACTCACATCCCCTTATAACAACTAATTTTCTCTTCAGATTTGTATCAGCTTGTCAAAGAGTTAGAGGCAAACTTCATGAAAATAATATAATAAGTGTGAATAATTTTTTTTGTAATTCTCATTTTGTGGAGCATTTACATAATATTATTTAAAGTATATATGTGTGTAGGGAAAATGGCCATATTAAAGGTATATGCTGTTGAGGTTTCGTCTATACAGAGATGATCAATTTCCTGAGCAGATAAAGATGAAATATTATTCATTATATAATCGTTTATTGAGTACCTGCCACTGCACTATCATCACTGATGCTAGAAAAACTAACAGCTCCTCTTCTCAAGGGACTTACCTAGGAATGGAGAAAGATCAGTAAATCTATGATTACTTACATTCAAGCCCTGTGGCGGGAGCATGTGTTACAGGAGAACAGGGAGCAACTAATTTAGATCTTGCAAATAAAATAAGTTCTTCTAAAAAATGAGTTACATGATAATACATAACATCTTTTGACCCATGTTTCTCAACATGGTGAAGTACAGGGGATCCCCACCCTTTATTCCTTGCTTCTCTGCCCTAAACCACTGAAAGGCAGCATTTCTGGGACAGTCTGCTCTGTAGATACAAACTCTGTATACCCTTGGGGTGTCCCAAAACCAAATTAGGAAAGAGGTTAGGAAGGAAGAGAGTTTGCAAGCTGTTCTGCTGCAGAGGTAAAGCCATGTTCTCCCACTGATTTATCTAGCAGTTTCCCCAACAGTTCGAGGCTCGCCCAGCCTCCATAGCAGCTTTCCACAGAACACATGCTCAGGGGGCAACTAGGGAATGATACAGGGCACAGAGGCCTCTTACATCTCTAATAGTCTCAGTTAGACTCTGGGATACAAAATAAAAAATGTGATGGATTATATAGTCAAAATACAAAATTGTTTATAAATTCGGCATTTGTAGAACAAAAACAAATTGGGAATCATGTGTCTTTTAAAAAATATATTTTGAGAAAAACATTTGCCCATACCAGTTACTACACTCCAAACCAACAGATGACACATATAACCTGAAGCTAATAAAACTGATGACAGATATATCTATTTGAGACTATGGGCTGTGACTCCCAGACAGCTGGAGAATGATTTACTGGAACAGTTGCTAAATACAGTAGCTGCCTTGATCAACATTACAACAATTGGCAATAACTGTGTCCATAGCAGAGCGTGAGCTCAGGAAACTGGCAATGCCACATCTCAAAGCTAGATCTGTCAAGGGTGCCTATGATGTTAGAGCAAATAAATGTCAACCTGAAAATTCATCTGTGTGACAGCTAACCCTGGAACTGACCAATTCTCTTTAAACAGATCTGTAATTTTGCAATAGGTACTGAATTGAAAGTATAAAAAGGATATTTAAAAAAAAATCTCTTCAGTCTTAACGGATATTCAATTCAACATTTATTTATTTATTTATTTATTTATTTATTTATTTATTTATTTTTGTGAGAACCTTACATTTCCTAGACATTTGCTTGAAGATAAGAGGTTCAAGATTTATGAGATGAAAAGACACTTGGATAATATGCAGACCTTCCAAGAGAAGAATGCTATACTAATTAAAGACAAACATGCAAATTGACCGTACTTTTGCTATGCCTCAAGCCACGCCCACCAGCCAATCAGAGCGACTATATGGAAATTAACCCAACCAAGATGGCGGCGGGCAGTCACGGAGCTGGAGCAAGCAGGAGGCTTGGTTGCCCCAGTGATGGAGGAAGCCAAGGTTCCCTGCCTGCCGCGGCCCAGCTCTGAGCTCCACTGAAAGCAACAAAGTTTCAATTATAGAAGGTAAACAAACCCCAGATACCTGCTTTCAGCCAGCCGTGGCCACAGAGCTGGAGCGAGCAGGAGAGGGTTGCCCCTGGCGATGGAGGAAGCCAAGCTTTCCGCAGGCCTCCGCTAAAGGCAACAAAGTTTCAATTATAGAAGGTAAATAAATCCCAGAATTAAAAAAGAAAAAAGAAAAAAAGGAGAGGCTGGGAGCTTACGTTGCCAGGGTGCTTGGCCAGCCTGAAAACTGCCCTCAGCCCCTCACCCAGGCTGGCCAAACCTCCATGGGGTGAGGGTCCCCACTGGGGTGGACATCCTCCAAGGGGTCCCACACTGTAAGAGGTCATGGGCCGGGCTGAGGGCCTCCCGGAGTGCACAAATTTTTGGGCACCGGGCCTCTAGTAAGAAATAAATACAGAGAAAATAAACAAGAATGCTAGAATTTAGGCATTAATGTTAGCATTGTTCCTCATTCTATTGTTCTACCTACTATGATGCTACTGCTCTTAGCACTAGCTAAGGATCAAACTAGTGGTTCTTCTCTCACCTCAACTTTTCTCTCTTCAAGAATTTAGCTCTCATTGTTTAAGCACCTGTTAAACAATGAGAGCTAAATTCTGTTCTTTTTCATCTATTTTTTAAGTAGAATCGAATCAGAAGGCTACATACTTAATAAGACTCAAAAGGCAGATCTCCCCTGTGACTAGTTCAGATGTGCTTGAGGACCCATGCATTTCATTGTGGGCCATGAAAAACATTAAAGAAAAATTCAAAATTCCAATTCAAAATTCAAGAACAAACCCGAACCGATTTGGCTCAGTGGATAGAGCGTCAGCCTACAGACTGAAGGGTCCCAGGTTCGATTCCAGTCAAGGGCATGTACACTGGTTGTGAGCACATCCCCAATAGGGGGTGTGCAGGAGGCAGCTGATCGATGTTTTTCTCTCATTGATGTTTCTAACTCTCTATCTCTCTCCCTTCCTCTCTGTAAAAAATCAATAAAATATATATTTTTTTATAATTCAAGAACAAAACTTCAAGAACCTTAGGTACTCCAAATTATATTTATCATGATTCTTGATTCATCACCACCTTCATCATTGGTCCATGTGATTTAGATAGTAGTCATCCCTATGTCAGATCAGTG